TATTGATGCGCCATCGCAATATTGGATGAGAATCATTATCGAAGGTTAGTTCAACGAAAGAAACTATAGTCCTTCAAGTGACATTTATTATTAAGAATATCAAAAACAATAATATATGTCAATTATTTCATGAAAATTGACAAATGTAAAGGTTATCGAACAAAAACATATCATCATAATCAAGTTCGATCACTTTTCATCATGGTATTTTTGAGCAGCATGTAACATAATGCTATTATTTACTTAAAAGTGAGAGGAATGCAAGTAAGATTTGACAAGCGTAGTCATCTTAGACTAGACTTCCAGGCTCTTAGCTGTTGAGATACATTCCTGATAGACTAGATAGTCAGCAACTACAATAATTTAGCAAGGGTTATAACCAAGAAGGTCAATTCAGTATCTATTGCTTACTTCGAAAGAATATCTAAACCTTTTTCGTAAATGGATACACCGAAGTTCTGGGAATTTTTGGGGTCACCCAGAAATGGGCACGGTCGGATTTTTCGAAAAATGAACTTAACTGAAATTTAAAGTAAGCTGAGAAATGCCTTGAAAAACTGTTTTTCGATGGGTTCGGTTCGTGTTTTCTTGAAATCGAACCGAACCGTGCTCATCTCTGGGGTCACTCTTAGTATATAAATCTACGACATATTTTCAATAGTTCCATTTTGTAATCTTTCCTCATTAATTAATATAATTAGCAATTAATCTTGATTAGTTAATTGAAAACTATTACTATATATTATCGAATATTTAAAAAATAATCTTTCAAGAATAAATCCAATTTGTTTTTCTAAATAATTAAATTTGAAAAGAAAAATAAAATTGAAATAGTTGATTAATGAATAATTAAATACATAAAATAAAAAAAAAGAAAATTGTTATATAGATGTGTAATACTAACTTGAAATAGAGTTTGATCATTATTAGTATTCATTAACTAATCGAAATGTTTTATCTGAATATTGATAAAAATCTTGTTTAGGTGTTTCGTAAATACTTGTTGTTTTATATTGATCTAAACAACATTTTAAATTATCAAATGTTAATCGACGTTTTTTTTTTTATTTTTCTCAATATTATATTTGTCTTGTTCAATTAATTTTCTATCATTAATAATAAAACGACTTGTTAATGATGGTTGATATGGATTTGATGAATTCGTTTGTTTATGATACTAATATGTTCAATGATTTGGATAACAAATAGTTGTAAATGAATTGTTTTTAAGTGTTCATTGCGTATAACTTCTATGAATAGGTAATGAAATTTTTGAAGATTATTTATCCATTGATTCAATACATGTATGAAAACTTTGTATTGTTGATGATGATAATGATTGAAGTTGAGATGAACGAATTTTAATTATTGATTTATATGGTGATGAATTATTTGAATTTGAACTTTTATTTAATTGATTTTCAACAACACGTAAGCTTGAATCATTTTTATTACTTATTGCAATTTTTTTTAGTATACTCATTATTTTTACTTCTTGAAATAATATTAAACTATTTTTTTTTTATTTAAATTTAGTTCGAGTATTTTTATTATCTTGACTTGTTTGTTTATGACTTTCTGTTTCATTACTAATTAAATCATGTGAATTATCAGTTATATCAATATCACCTGTAAATAATTCTTCTAACTTTGAATGGATCAACTTTTCCATATCAATTTGAATTACTTCCAGTATCAGAATTATTACCCATTTTCTATTTAATTCAACAATTTAATTAATAGAAAAGAAAATATTTTATTTCTTTTCTTTTTTTTCGTTTACTTCTGTAGAGAAAATCCTTCAACAAGAATAGCAACAAGTAAATTAAATAAAACATAATTTCCAAATGTCATGAATGCAATAAAATACAAAGCTGCCCATGCACTTGTATTTTCCATGCCATTGTAAAGTACTTCATTCCAATCTTCTTGAGTTAAAACCTATTTGAAAAATATGTTTTGCGAATTATTATCTTATATGATTAGCTGTGTTTTAAGCAAGAAGACGTATAACAATAGGTATATAGTGCAGAAATTTAAGCAGTGACTATACATATATATAAAGTGAGCAAACAAGATAAGAGATACAAAATTGTTTCCAATGAGAATTTATCGAAGAAGATCGTTCTCTATTATTGTCTTCGGTGAAGTTCAATCGTTTTTTTGCTTTTTTCTTTCTTTCTTATTAACTATTTAGAAAAAAAGAAATGGTGAAACACCTTTGAAAATTTTCGAATCAGGCTGCTAAATAGGTTAAATTTGGTGTGCGAGGTAAAATAGTGTTAATATCATTCAAGGGAATAATGTCTAATGTAGGATAGTATTCGAGAAAAGTTACCCGAAAAAAGGTTAATAATGTAAAAGCTAATGAATTAAAATTTTTTCTCTGTTGTAAACAATAAAAATCTTTGAGATGAGTATCATTTTTTAAAAAATCATTTTGATAACATGTACAACATTTACATTTAATATGAATTTCTTTATGTGATGTTATATTAAATGCTTCTATTGAACAAAATTCATCACCAAATAAATGCATACCAAGAATATTATATAGACACATTTATCAATAAAAACATTAAGAAGCAGAATAATAGTTTAATTTTAGCATTTTTTTCTTTTAGAAAAGCATGAACAATTAAAAAATGAAGTTAATTTTACTTGAAAAACAGTTGAAATAACCCATAGATTCAAGACATTTGCTATGTTTTACTTCAATATATTTGCAATCAAAAAGATTCATACCCAATATACTGTAGAAGAGTTTTATTTTTATTCAAATATCTAAACACATTTTGTATTGTGTTTCGTTTTTTTTCTTCTAAACTTACCTGAATAATGAATATAAATAGAAGTAATAAAGCGAAAAAATGTAGTCACATTATTCATTGTTTTAAGCATGACAATCTATAGTGAAAAACAAAATCAATTAGATTTATTTATTGAAACTTTTTCTAAAGTTGAGATTAACATAAATTTATATATGAAAATTCTTTCTTAAACAATCATTTTCTGTCTTTTATGCACTTCTAAACATTTAGAAAATTCTTTCAAAATTATTGAATAGAGTTATTCAATAAACTATCATAAAAATGGAAAATAAGTATACTCAAATCAGATACCTGCCGGATGTGATAAGAGTTAAAACAAAAAATAAAATAGAATCGATTAGTTGAATATGGCATTTCTACTAAAGATAGTTATCAATGAGTCGATAAGTAATTCGAATGAAAAATAAAATAAAAGAGAAGAACAAAAAAAAAGAAAAGGTTGATTTACCAATTGTCGTCTAAGTGTTGGCATAAATCTGCCAAGTTTAAGTACACGTAATAATCTAAATGTACGTAAAACGGATAATCCACTATTTTTATTTCCTTGTAATTCAATAAGACTCATGATAACAATAGCACTATCAAATAAATCATGAGCATTTTTTTGATATATTAAAGACAGCCATCAGTAATTATTTTTAAAATCATTTCAATAGCAAATAATGATGTAAATACTAAATTGCAATATTCTAATGCATTTGTTAATGATTGAGGTTGTTCATGATATTCAATATCCATTGATAATGCATTTATAACAATAGCTGATAATACGATACGATGAAAATATTTTCCTGCAACAAAATTTGATATAGATTTTTGAAATTTGTTCCAATAAGACCCTATATATTTATAGAACTATTATCTTGATCACAATAAAATGATGATAAATGTTGAGTAATGTCCATATTATCAAGATGAGCATTTGTTGTATGTATTAAATCTAATATATAAGATTGTTCAGGACTAGCAGCTTGTGCATCACCTAGTGGTGGAGATAATGATGTTTCTGTTCGATTTGATAAACTATCATCTATATGATTATATCGACAATTTAATTGATGAGTTATTTCTAGATTTGATAAGGAATATAAATTCGATTTAAATGAATTTCAATTGTTCTGGATTTATCATTTACAAGTTCTTTTCGACGAGATTATTTTTTTTTACCAATTAAACGTTTTTCTTTAACCTATTAACAAATATATAAAAATCTAGAACGT